CCCCAAAACCCCAAAACCCCAAAACCCCAAAACCCCGTCAGGTTAAATTTACTTGGGATCGTCATCAGTAAAATTAGTCAAATCAAATTTATAAATTTAAAAATGAACTCAAGCGAATAATAGGACTCCTATGAAGATAGCGAAGATCAGAAAGTCTAGAAAGAGCTGCACATTTAAGAAGAGATTCAGCAACCTCAACCAAAATAATCCAAAAAGCCTCATGTAGATAGTGAACAGGATACTAAATCCAAGAATTTCTGGGAAGAAAAGAAAGAATCTTTCATCAGAATTAGGCAATGGGAGGAGGATAGGAAGTAAATTTCTATTTTAATTTACTAACTTTATCTCTATAGGAGCAAGTCAAATCTTTTAGGCCATATAATACTAGGGATGAATGAAAGCATTTTGCATAGAATGACAAATTCAGCCTTTGAAAATGAAACATTTATAAAGTATTTATCGTGATTCTCATTTAAATTCTAGCTACTTCTAGCTGTATATCAAAATATAGACTGAGCATTCCCAGATTCTAGTCAGAAATGTATCTAAGCATTTAGATCCCTTAAAGCTTGTTTATGAAGAACAGGGCTCACAATACAAAAATTTCATCTAGTCTTTAAAGGATTTAGATGTTAACTAAGCTAATACAATTGTTGAGATGACCAAAAAAATAAAAGAACTCATAGATGAAAGAATAGTCAAATTAACTAAAAATATGAAGAAGGCATGCGAGAAGTACAGTTAAAATTATACAAAAAAGCAGAAGGAATATATGGAATCCCAAGTACTTACTGACAAGCTATATGATGTATACTTAAAGCATTTTGAGAACAATGAGTAAAACTTTAGAAAAGGAATTGCAATATCAGTGAACGATAAAGATCTTTGGTTTGTGGAATAACAGTACCTCAAATAAGCATAGAAAGCTTTGAATCTGTTGGCTGAGTTTAAGCAAATATTATTCACTGCTTGGGAAGAAGGCAGAGATATGGAGTTTGAGAGGATAAAGACTATTAAGAGTATGTATGATGACATTATAGTCGCTAACAGGAAAATATTTGGTGAAAATGAGCAACAAACCACAGCTATTAATGCCATCAATGCGATAAATTAATTTGAAGTGGCGCAAGAATTATTTTCTTTTAGGGCTTTAATAAGTTAGTCTGAACTTAAATCAATGATTCAACTTAATGAGATTTGCAAGGCAAATATTGATTTCATCAATGCCACCGATGACATGATCAAGAATTTTATTAAGTCTGTTGAGTTTGAAGCCCCTCCAGAATCAAATTTGATTATTAAAAAAAGCATTGTGAAAAGAGATGCAGGAGTGCTCAATTCAAATAAGGATTCAACTGCAGTGTTAACAAGAGACAAGTAATCATATACATATAATTAAACTCTAATCTATAGCTATCTCTATGTATTTGATTGGAGCATGCTTAAAGCATAAGATTATTCAGATCCTAAAATGTTTACTAACCTTAACAATTGCCATAGCTACGAAATCAAAAAAGGTAATTAGTTAAATGTCAATTATGATATTTCAGATATGAAACTGGAAATAGTAGAGAACAAGAAAGGAATTTTCTCTTCGTAAAAGAGAATATTATTTAAAGCTGTATCAGTAGAGGATTTAGAAGAGTGGGTGAATCATGTGAAAAGAATCTTGATACAAAAACAATCATCTTGAAATTCATATTTTAATAGATTTTGGTAATCCATATAATCTAATAAGTTTCTTCAAAACTCAAATACTCATTACTAACATTTTCACTTTCATAATGTGGGGTTTTGGGGTTTTGGGGTTTTGGGG